GCGAGCGATGTTCGCCGAAGCAGATACCGAGTGGAAAAAAGCCAAGAGTGATCAAGTTAAGACCTGGCATGAGGGTATGAAGACCCTAACCAGGAAACTGGGTCACATAGGTCCTGTTAGGCTCCCTGGCTGGGGACCTCGGGNTAAACAGTGGCGTTCTTGCATCTCCTCAATTTCTTTGCAACCTTGGACCACTGAACTTCTCCTTTTTTTTGAGTGCATCTCCTCAATTTCTTCCCAACCTTAGTCCACGGAACTTCTCCATTTTCCTTTCGACTCCACTTTCAACTTTCCTCTCTTCTCCTATTCTTCATCCCAATGGGCAGCCAAAAGACAGCAACCAAAACCGGCGCACGAGAGTGCATGGTAAATGGTTGTTCAAACTGAAACTGAAACTGATTCGGTATGTGCTTTGCACCCTCAAGGTGCAAAGTGATACTACAAGATTGGGTGTTGTCTACTCCAGCGGCGATGCTTTGTGGTCAACAATTATCTTCGATGGAATGTTTCTTCTACTTAGGTAGCTACGTGACGAACGACGGTAGTATAGTCAACGAGGTAACCGCCCGCATTTTCAAGGCTCTAGTAGCTTACGCAGGACTAAGATACCTTTCGTGCAGACGTGATGTTTCGTTGAAACCGAAAGGTCGTGTATACTGCGCCAGTGTCCGGTCATTTCTGCTCTATGTTTGCGAGACCCTAAATTTGCGCGTGGAAGATATTCGTCGCCTAAAAGTCTTCGACCGCTGACGTTTACGTAGTTTGGTGCGGGTTGGATGGAGTGAGCGTGTAAGTAACTGAGGTAAGGCGTCGCCTATTTGGTAATGGTTCGATGAAGAATTCTTTGTCCCATCGCATTCAAATTAGTCAGTTTCGTTGGTTAGGACACGTATCGCGCATACCTCAGCCATCGTCTACCAAACCGCACCTTATTCGCAGTTGGTGCTCTAGGATGGAAGAAACCACGTGGAGGTCAAAAAATGACGTGGAGGCGAGGCATAAAGAAATGCACAGAGCGATTAGGCAGAATCGGTGTCTCCCCTCTTCCAGGTGATGGTCCAAAAGATTCCGCAGCTGGTTGGTTGGAGATACTGGAAGATATGGCAACTAACTGACAGCAGTGGCGTTCTTGTTGTCGTTTCTTATCAGGTCATAATGCTTGAAAAGGTAGGTATGCACACTTAGATTCTGTACTCTGTGTTAACCATAGAGGTTCACTTTCTTTGCGTTCCTACAATTAGACCCAATCCCTCTTCATGTTGTTCTTCATCACTTGATTCGTGCAAATTGTGAGCTTGGCAGCAGTCAGTGAAGTTCTCTTCACAGTATCTCGCTGTACAATAATAATGACAAGTGGTGGAAATCAGACGATACACTTATCTGTGTTCTGTACTTGGAGCAGTAAATGAAAAAAGTTTCTTTGCCGTTGTTACCATATTTTTATTCGTTATCTTGCATAATTGTTTATCAAACTCAAATTTTCATTCTCAACTTTTTTCAGGCATGGGGGAAACAAGTCAAGTTCAGCATGCTATTGACTTGTTTCGTTCTACTTTCCCCCAATTGGATAAAGATGTGGCGGATTATGTCGAAGGTTTGTGTATTAGTTTTATCATTTCTTCAATTTCAAAGGTGTTTTGGTAGAGAATGCTGCTCACTTTGACACAGAGGCAGAGGTGCATGATGCCATCGGTGGCCTTCTCAATGAATTTTCCTGTGGCGCGAATAAATCTGAAATTGACGAACTTTGCAAGGAAATTTACTCTCTTATGAAATCGTATGTTGCTTCTTTGTTGTACTTACGCATGTTTTATCCATCAATGAAGAACTCAAATCAAAACGGAGGATGCTACGCTTGACGCTCCCGTTCATATGGCTAGTCTGTTGGACACATTTAGTGAACGGCTTGTGGACAACCAAAGCATATGGATGGTCAAAAGAGAAGCCACTTCTGTGGTTGATAAGAAAAAGTTGGTGAAAGCTGAAGCTAAATTACGAGAAAAACAGGAGAAAAAGTCGTCCTCAGCTAAGTTGTCAGGGCTTCCAAGCTCAAGGTACTGTCAGATTCTCTCTTTATGATATCCATACAAGCTCCCTGAATAGCATGGAAAATGGTGATAATTTTGCAACAGTCAGTCAACAGTTGGATCGAAGAGATATCAATGCTTCCGCAGATGCAAGCGGTCGACACGTTGGTGATATTCGATTGGAAAACTTTGATATTGCGTACGGAAGCAGGTATATAATCACAATTCTGAAAGCTGCTCTTCTTTCTCTGACGTGTTTCTCTGTATGAGTTTACTTCCCGTGATTTGTTTATTCAAACGATCCGGAGTACAAGTATTGAGTTTTCAGTTTGTACAGTCGCTAAGAATACCTTTTATTGTGGCTGTTTTGGCTACTGTCTTGGTTGCTCCTTTGGATGAAGCAGTAAGAGAAAGATAGAAAAGTTGAAAGTAGAGTCCAAGGGACAATAGCCATTTCATTCAGTGTTTCTAACCATTGATTACGATAATCCCGAGGCCCTCATCCAGGTAGCCTTACTCAACCTATATAACCGAGTCTCTTGATTAGGGTTTTCGTACCCTCATTCCAGGTCTTATTTTGACCACCCGTGGTTTTTTCACCCACTGCCTGCCTCAGCAAACATCGCGCACCGTGACAATCTATTTTGTGACATGTGTAACACGCCTTGGTCTACTTTCTCTACTAGGTCCCCAATTAGAGTGNGGAGCTGAACCAACCCAATCTTGGGGCAACATTTAACACTTTGGAGACGGAAAGCGCATACCGAACATGGCTACACAAACACTCAAATTATCCAGAAAAGCTTGCAACTTACCTGAATCTTCACCTAGCGACACAATGTTGTCTGCGTACTTCAGATCAGACAATCTGCCACCTGGGAGTAAATGGATACCGCTATCTTCGCACGAGGAATTTAATTTGTTTCAAAGTTAAGTAGAAACGGAGAAGGCGACCCCGACGGACGTGTGTGAATAACTCAATACAAGTTGTTGTTGACAAGCGTCAACAACCGTGAAATCGGTCATATGTAATTGTTTAAAATAAAATTTTGCGTAACGCAAACTGATTTTTCTTTAATGTTTTCAAGAAAACTTGAATTGATCCGAAAATAACAACATAATATTGCTACGTTTGCGTTATTTAATGCATACAGTACACCCTTCTCTTCTTTGCTCATTATCTCCGAAAATCTCTTTTATTTAGGACGTTGTTGCAGGGTGCCAATCTAACTGTATCATATGGACGTCGTTATGGTCTGATTGGTCGTAACGGTTACGGTAAAACAACGCTCCTTCGTGCACTTGCAAGGTTTGTTTAATTTATATGCTCACTCATAATCCCTTAGAGGAGATTTACGACTTCCATCTGGTCTTCGAATTTTACACGTTGAACAAGAAATGGCTGGTGACTCAACTCCAGCACTGGAGAGTGTTTTGCGTGCAGACACCGAAAGAGCTGCTCTTCTGGCCGAGTTGTCTCAGTTGCAGTCTACCCGTTCAGCGGGGACTAATCCAGTGACAAATGGAACTTCTGAGCTTATTCCTCAGAATGACACTGCTTCTGGAGACCGACTGTCCCAAGTTTATTCTAGGTTAACAGCCATTGAAGCCGACAAAGCCCCTGCCAGAGCAGCAGTCATTCTCCACGGCTTAGGATTTGATTCAGAAATGCAGGTGCGTAATTCTTTTAAACTTCCCCTATCTATTACTTAACCTTATTTCCGTTTCCCACACTACAATTAATTGAAAACTGTTGACTTCAGTCTCATTAGATCACTTCATGTCAGACCCGAAATGCTTTACAGCAAAAGGGGTAAACCGTATAGTCGCAGACTTTATAAAGATGTGCGATCAATTTACCCTTCGGTTGCCCAAATAGTTTGCCGAGAGGTAGCAACCCAAGCTACTATACAAGAGTAGAGTGTTAACGATTGTGAAATTAAAAAAGAAACTGATCCTGGTTTTCAGTATAGGAAGTTTGTAATTAGTGAGGAGTATAAAAAGAGAAAGGGTGTTTTACAGTTTTCCGGTTTCAGGAACAAAGCAGACCAAGGGATGGAAATTTGACATCGGACCATCAGCAACCTGTACATCTACACCACCTCTGATTTCTTGAATGCATCCTACGCATGCCCATCTACCGCCTTCTTTATCGACCACAGTTTGCACTTCCTTGTCGCGTCTAGAAGCATTGTCACGACATTCTGTTCTTAACTTGATATACCTGTGCGAGGAAGTTAATA